TGGATAGATATAGATTATAGATGATAGATATAGATGATAGATAGATTATAGATGATAGATTGATGTAGATAAATAGATGATAGATAAATATAGATTATAGATAGATGATAGATATTGATAGATGATAGAGATAGATGGATAATAGATATAGATATAGATAGATGATAGAGATAGGTGGATAGATATAGATTATAGATGATAGATTATAATGATAGATATTGATAGATGATAGATATTGATGATATAGATAGATGCTAGATGATAGAGATAGATGGATAGATAGATATAGATGATAGATATAGATTATAGATGATAGATATTGATAGATGATAGATATTGATGATAGATATAGATAGATGCTAGATGATAGAGATAGATGGATAGATAGATATAGATGATAGATATAGATTATAGATGATAGATATTGATAGATGATAGATATTGATGATAGATATAGATAGATGCTAGATGATAGAGATAGATGGATAGATAGATATAGATGATAGATGATAGATATAGATGATAGATAGATTATAGATGATAGATAGATATAGATTATAGATATAGATAGATGATAGATAGAGATAGATAGATGGTAGAGATAGATAGTAGATATAGATAGATAGGTCTGTCTGTCTGTCTATTTCTATATCTATCTATATCTCTATATCTATCTATCTGGCTGATGGAGGGCTTGGCGGCCGACAGACCACAACAGAATGGTTGCAAACCAAGGACTGTATTTCTAAGTAGTCTTCAGCTCCTTTGACTTTAAAAGTCTGTGCAGAGAAATTGAAAGAGTTGAGCGAGGCCGGTTGGCTAGAGGGCGTTGACCCTTGGTGGCATCTGGGCAGTTTGACTTGAAAAACCTACCCCCAAGATGCCAAGTTGCCTTTTTTTTCTTCTTTCAACAAGATAAACATCCAGAACCTGGAAGGGGAGGTGGCCAAACTGCAGAAGGAGAAGGAAGACTTGGTCCTCGCCCTTCAGATGACCAAGAAAGACATCACCCAAGCCAAGTAAGAAAACACGGGTGCCTGGGCTTTACCCCCTTGGGGAAGAGTCTCCGAATGGGGTTGCTGGACTCCGAACATCTGGCTCCGATCTTTTTTTCAGGCTGAGCGAGCGTCGGCGGAAACGTCTGCAGGAGCTGGAAGGGGAGATGACCGAGCTCAAGAAGAAGGTGAAGGAACAATCCAAGCTGCTGAAAATGAAGGAATCCAGCGAGCAGACCGTCTCCAAGCTCCACCAAGACATCCGGGTAAGCAATCTTTCTTTCTTTCTTTCTTTGTTGCCTCCAATTTTCCCCACAACAACCCTGTGAGGTGACATAGGCAGAGACATAGACAGACAGAGAGAAAGACACACATAGAGAGAGAAAGAGACAGAGAGAGACTGAGAAAGAAAGAAAGAAAGAAAGAAAGACAGAAAGAAAGAAAGAAAGGAGAGAGAGACAGAGACAAAGGGGGATGGTACGACGGTCGTTAAGTGTGAAAAACTTTCCTAAGTCACTTTTTTCACTTCGGTCGGTCAGTAAACGAACGGTTGTAAATCAAGGACTCCCAAGATTAGTGTGATTACTTTAAAGGGAAATCCAGGGACTTCTAAAAGAGGAAAGGAGAGAGAGAGAGGCAGAGACAGACAGAGAAAGACACAGAGAAAGATAGAAAGAGACAGAGAGAAAGACAGAGAGAGAGAGAGACTGGCCCCAAGGCACCCAGCTTGGTGATGCCTTAAGGCAGGACTAGGAGTCACTGTCTCCTGGTGATTGGCCCAAAGTCGGCCAGATGGCTTTCATGCCTAAGGCAGAACTTGAATTTACCCTCTCCTGGTGGTTGGCCCAAAGTTTTCCGAGCTCGCTTTCATTCATAAAACAGGACTAGAACTCACCGTCTGCTGGTGATTGGCCCAATGTCACCTAGCCAGCTTTCATGCCCACGGTGGGACTAGAATTCACCGTCTCCTGGTGATTGGCCCAAAGTCACCCAGCTGGCTTTTATGGCTAAGATGGGACTAGAACTCACTGTCTCCTGGAGATTGGCCCAAAGTGACCCAGATGGCTTCCATCCTTAAGGTGGGACTAGAACTCACTGTCTCCTGGTGATTGGCCCAAAGTTACCCAGTCAGCTTTCATGCCTAAGGCAGTACTTGAATTCATCATCTCCTGGTGATTGGCCCAAAGTTTTCCAAGCTCGCTTTCATTCATAAAACGGGACTAGAACTCACTGTCTCCTGGTGATTGGCCCAAAGTCACCCAGATGGCTTCCATCCTTAAGGTAGGACTAGAACTCACCGTCTCCTGGTGATTAGCCCAAAGTCAGCCACCTGAATGTACCTTGGCATATGAAGGAAAGCAAATGCATAGATGTATATAGAACACATATTTGAGGGCCTGTGACCCCCTGAAATGTGGAAGCCTGTTCCTTTATAGTAGATGAAAGACGACTAGTGATGTAATCTCTCCATTCCCTTAGGCTGTTGCTAAAAATGTGAGGCATTTAATTTTACCGACAAAATGCCTCATGTTTCCTTGTCGCCCAGGGGTGGTATTCACTCCCTACCAGTTTGCAAACATGCCCTCGCACGCACACGGCATACGCGCGGCTTGAAAACGTGCCTAAATACGACCCACGATTTCCACTACCGGTTCGGGCGAAGCGGCTGAATAAACCACTTTTGCTGCCGCCCCCCTCTAAGAGCGATTTCCTCAATGTGAACTAGAACTCTTATGCACAGACTCTTTTTCTTTAAAAAATAATAATAAATACCCCGCTTTGCTCCTTCCTGTTCGGCTTCTAGACCATGAAAACCCAACGGGTTCAGCTGATTCGGGAGATGAAGGAAGATGCGGAGAAATTCCGACAGTGGAAGCAGCAGAAGGACAAGGAGGTCATCCAGCTGAAGGCCAAGGTGAGCTGGGAGCTTGGCCATTCTCACACACCTCCTGACCATCAGCTGTCCCAGCATGGAGAGTGACCGTCTCCTTTCTTTGAAATGTGGACCTCACTCCTAGACAACTGTTGGTCAATCTTAGCAGCCTTAATAGCAATAGGATTTAGACTTACATACCGCTTCACGGTGCTTTTACAGCCCTCTAAGCAGTTTACAGAGTCAGTCTGTTTCCCCTTCCCCCCAAAAACAATCTGGGTCCTCCTTTTACCGACCTCGGAAGGATGGAAGGCTTTGTCGGCCTTGGATCTGGTGAGACTCGAACTGCTGGCAGTCAACATAATTAACCTGCAGTACTGCATTCTAACCGCTGCGCCACCACAGGACTTAAATCGTCGGGATTGAAGATGGGTGGACTTCAGCTCCCAGAATTCCTTGCCACCAATCCATTCTTTTGATAGGTAGGCCTGTTGACTGTGGCCTGTTGACTCTCTTATAATCCCTTCCTCTCAAACCTCGGCGGGATAGGAGAAAAAAGAAAATAGGCATGGCTGACTGGCTGGGGAATTCTAGGAGTTGAAGTCCACCCATCTTAAAGTGGCCAGAGGTTGACTGTCTTAGACTAAGGGATCAGCAACCGATGGCTCTGGAGCCGCATGTGGCTCTTTCATCCTTCTGCTGTGGCTCCCTGTCGCCAGCCACCTCCACAATTGATAAGATTTTCAGTTAGGACAAGTACAAGAAAAAGGAGGCCGCACTAGGAGGAGACTGTTGGAGGAAGCAGACTTCCCGGCGGTTCCAGAATTGAACAGGGTGGGGGTGGGGGCTTCCAGTTAGGAGCTTTGTGGCTGTTTGAGTGTTTAAGGTTGCCAACCCCTGTGTCCCACTTGCCAGAACATTGCTCCATCCTATGTAAATAATAGAACACATCGGCTTTCTGCAGTAGGTCACACTAGATGCCCTCCAAGTGTAGGTCAAGATTACCATTCCCATAATGGCCAAAAAGGTAGGGAATTCTGGGAGTTATCTTCTAGCTTTCCTGGGTATCTCTAGGTTAGGATGTGTTCTGACCAAGGCTTCCCAAGAGCCTGGTGCAAATTCCTGGTCCCGACAAAATTCTGCTCCTTCCCATCCAGCAAAGTCATTCAAAGGAGGATTTACAGTCACAGACCTTATCTGGCTTGGAGAGCTGCCAGGCCGATATCTGCAAAACCTGGCAAGGAGTCTCTGAACCAATGAAGCGAACTGATTGTCTCCTGCAAACTCCCCTCCCCTTTCGCTCCTTTTTTATTTCCTCTGGGAGGGGCCATTCATCGTCCATCTATGGCCTTTCCTCCCAAGTCGACCCCTGTTCTTTAGCTGTTCCCTTCGTCTGGCCACTCTGCGCATGCGCACACTGGGAACAGGCTCCAGCTGTTCTTCTGCCTCACTTATGTCTGTCTCTAAAGGTAGCTGATAACTGTCAGACGTCCCTGGCCCCCTCTCTGCCTCCAACACAGAGCCCTCCTCCGAGCCTCCCCCAGACTCCAGGAG